ATTCCAACAATTTGAGATAAGTTTCTTAGACTTTCAATTTATGCTTTCAGTTTCTTCTACGGTCATTACTGGTGGCCTATGAGATGCATATGCAGTGACCAGAACTCTCAAAGACTAACACCAAACTAAATCTGACAACCGGGAATGTCCCATCTCTCTACTCCTGACTCTTTTTCAGGAGCAGAGCAATTAATATCCAGCTTTAAGGAAAACATTTGGATAGTCATAATTAAACAAAGTGCTCTCAGATGGGCCATCTCTGTCTTGTCCCAGGCTGTAGTGAAGCATGTGATGCCCCCACCCCAGCCAGCACGTGGTTTACCTGTCTGTTGTGCCGTGGCCTGTAAGAATTGAAGCCTGCAAGCTGCATGTTCAGAATGGTTGTGGAAAAGAAGAGGAATTATAGAGTAGGTGTGTGATAAATACATGGAAAATTTAAATTATCCCACTAATAAGAAAATAAAAAGTCTGAACATTCTTACTAGAATGCTTAATTTCATTCATTGAGTAAACCTGTCCTTTTTTCCTTTTATAATGCTTTTTCACTAAATCATAATAAAAATACAAAGGATACATATTAAATGGCAGTCAAGTACTGATATTCCACTCAAGATAACTATTGATGAATTGATAAGCATTTGTTCACCTTTTCTCTCCACGCTGTAGCCCTGGCCATGTCACTGACATGTCCGCTTAGGTAAAAAACTTACCAAAAAAGCCTTCATAGCTACTTTGAAGGAAAGTAGTTACTTAAACAAACTGTTTCTGAAAACATACTTTTAACACAAATAGCTAAAAACTAGTATTTACATATTTATGCCTTATGACTTTTCATTTAGATCAAATGACTGTACTTCCACATTAATTAATCTCATTTTCCATTCCAAAGTTTCATTGCACATGTATGAAAAATGGCAAAGTAGCTGTTCATCTGCCTTCCATCAAAAGATGCGAACAGAATATCCACTTAATTGTGGAATTCAGTATATGGAAAAAAATCTTCTGCAGGTTAATTTTGGAAGCTTTTCTTGAGTGAAAGTGAATAAAAAAGCTGGCGAAGTACGTGAGGTCAAACACTAAATGATTCAGTTTTTAAATTCTAAAGTTGTGCTTTAGATTATTTCAGTTTGTGGGAAAGTCATTTGATATTTAATAGGATAAATAAGCCATTGATATTTTTGGCATAAATTTTGTTTCAAACGTATTATCTTAAAAATATTTGACAGAGTCAGTACAATGTGAATGGCTGCAAAAATGTAGTGCATTTGAAAATATTTGAGATTAAAAAAAAGAAAATATTTGAGATGAAATATATACAGATTTCAGTATTTATAAATAGACCTGAGAGTATTCTCCATGTGTCCCATTTTTGTTGTGAGTTTTCAAGGCACCTAAGTGCTTGTAGAAAGAGTATTTCTTCATTAAAGTTAAGATGTCAATTTAATGAACATTACCTGCAACTCTGAAGATGATCAGTTTTATAAAATTTGAGAAATGAAAAGATACGTATTAAAAAGTACATTCTGTTGAAAAGTAATCCTCACATGGTATTATAGACAGATCCAGCGAGCAAGCCAACTAAAATGTATAAATGTAGTCCACAAATGATTTTTCATGTGTCACTTAAAAACATCCAGATAATCAATACACATTTATTTTGTTTTAATGCACTAAAAAATATATTTTTTTATTTTGAAGCAATGTATTCATAAAAATGAAATAATTCTATAGGTCTACAAGTAAATAAAACCAAGTTGTTCATTGACTAATATTTTAAACACAAAATAATACCGATTATTTTCATTCTTAACAGAATATAGGTCTGGATAATAATAAATTATGCTGTTACCCCAGATATAGTGGGATTCTTTAGCCTCGTCTTTGGATATTGAAGACTAAAACTAAAAGATCAAATTCATTAAAAAGTAAAAGGACTTGTGAGATTAACTTATTTTGATGTACTAATTTACACTTTGTTCACAACCACATCCTCAGTATTCCAGTGTTTCACAAGGGAAAAAAAAAATCAGCCAACTGAAATAGGAAGTTCTTATGAAATTGAACCACGTGGAAATTTGAGTCATTCTCCAAGAAATTGTTTTGACCTAAGCTCCATGTTACTGAAAAGAGGAAGCCACTTTTGCCCTTTGGGTCAAATTCTCCAGTGCTTTCAAATGTTCCTTTATAAACATGAATCCGTATGGGGCAGACAGAGATGGGTTTTCACTATTGTGCCCATTAATAGATGCCAGTGGATTGCTGAGTATGAATGAGTTTGTTCTGGTGGCATATCTAATCTTTAATGCAAACTGCTCAAGTAATTAGATTAGTAAGTAAGGGGGAGAAAGTAAGAATGTCTTCCAAGTGTGATGTTATAAGAGGAAACAATGAGCCTGATTTTTCTTTTGTACGGAGTGGTGGCATAAAGGAGCACAGACCAGATGGTTATGAAGTTACTCAAACCACCCCACTACCCTTCACTGGAGAGGAGATGACAATGATGCATTCTAACCCCTGCCACTCCTTAATCTGTTTAAGCCATAAAGCTTCATAAACAAGAGCAGATAGCAAGAAGGAAAGTTTGTGCTTTCTGACATTTCCGCCATATTTTTAAATTAAATCATGAACACATAGATCATGTGTACATTAATGCATTTATGGGGGTACAATGTGCTGATTTCATATAGAATTAGGAATGTTTACATCACACTGGTTAATATGTACCTCATCTCATTTACTTAATTATTGTGTTAAGACATTTATACTCTATACTTAATAGATCCAACAGGTACCCTTGCATTGTACACCATAGGTGTGATCCCACCATTCACCCTCCCTCTATCTGTCCTCCTCCCTCCTTCATTCTGGGGCCATAGGCCATAGTTGTGGTCTATTCTTCATATCAAAGTGTGATTGTAAATTGGGTTAATAATACTACTGAGTACATTGGGTATTTTTCTTCCATTATTGAGATACTTTACTAAGTAGAATATGTTCTAACTCCATCCATGTAAACATAAAAGAGGAAAAGTCTCCATCTTTTTTAAGGCTGCATAATATTCCATGGTATACATATACCACAATTTGTTGATCCATTCATGGGTAGATGGACACTTGGGCTTCTTCCATGACTTGGCTATTATGAATTGAGCTGAAATGAACAATCTGGTACAAATATCTTTGTTATAAAGTGATTTTTGGTCTTTTGGATATACACCTAGTAGAGGAATTGTGGTATCAAACAGCAGGTCTATTTTTAGATCCCTGAGTGTTCTCCATACTTCTTTCCAAAAAGGATATATTAGCTTGCACTCCCACCAGCAGTGCAGAAGTGTTCCCTTTTCTCCACATCCATGCCAACATCTGTAGTTCTGGGATTTTGTTATGTGGGCTAATCTTACTGGAGTTAGAAGATATCTCAAAGTGGTTTTGATTTGCATTTCTCTGATGATTAAAGATGATGAGCATTTCTTCATGTGTCTGTAGGCCATGTGCCTATCATCTTCAGAGAAGCTTCTGTTCAAGTTCCTTGCCCACAATGAAATGGGATTACTTGTTCTTTTTTTATTGATAAATTTGAGTTCTCTGTGGATTCTGGTTATGAAACCTTTGTCAGAGGCATAACCTGCAAATATCCTCTCCCATTCTGAGTCCTGTCTGCTTGCTTTACTTACTGTGTTCTTGGCTGTGCAGAAGCTTTTTAGTTTAATCAGATACCAGTAATGTGTTTTTGGGGTTGCTTCAATTGCCCAGGGGGTCCTCCTCATAAAGTGTTCTCCCACGCCAATTTCTTCAAGTGTTTCTCTTGTACTCTCTCCAGGGATCTTTATAGTTTCATGTCTTAAGTTTAAATCTTTCATCTAATCTACCATATTGGTGCTTTTATCAGCACTCCCTACTGGTTGCTGGGTGCTTCTTCCCTCCATCCATTGCTTTAGTTTGATGGAGCAAAGAATATGTGATGAAAATGATTTTTTTCCTTTTGCAACATAAAGGAAATTATTTTGCTCAAAAATGTAGAATAATTCAGGCATAGTGTCTACAACAACCCAGAAAGGCAGAAGTTAAATTCCTGATTACTGAAAAGTTCATAGAGGAGCTAGAACATAAGATTAGAATATAAGAAATAGTGTAAACATACTACTCTTTTAGGGAAACTGCTTTTCTCTGGCATTTGGGTAATTCTAGATAATTGTTATGAACTTTAGCTACCTAGCATGATAAAACACACTTGAGGTTTTCTGCAAGCAACATAAGGATAATATTCTTAGCTGAATTCCGTTTCACATAAAGAATTGGAGACTGGGGAAGATGGACTCACTTGCTTCTAATTTCACAAGGAAATCACAGTCAGTAGGTGAGCACCCTGGTGGAGAGTAACCTGGATAAGTTCAGCCCTGGCAGTTTACTATTGTGTTACTTAGTAGCTTGTCTCTAGCTGTAGGCTCTGTGTGGAGGTGGTTCCCCCAAAAGGAGGGCTAACTTGCTCCTTAGGACTACAGTGTATTTAAAATACGCGGAAAATGCAGAGTCAGACTGAGAAGTCACAGTGCTTAGACATATCTGTACAGTATTTCTAACATGCAGTGTCCTTACCTGCTCGGAGTATTTCTGAAGGGCTACGATGGAACCTGAAGGGCTATGATGGGGAGTGAGTTTCCAAAAGAACCTTCTGAAGACAGGATGGAAGAGTTCTCTGAGGGAAGCCAGAGCCTCCAAAGGAAAATGAAAAAATAAAGCCCCTGATTCTGTGAGGTTTCCATTTATCACCTCACAATATTGAGGGAGTGACACGGGCTTGCACACTGTGACTAGTAGCATCTAAATGAATGGACAGGGGATTTTTTTTTGGTAATTTATAAATATTTAAGTTGTAAAAAATAAGATTTATCTCTTGGGGTCACTCTTGGTAAAAAAAAAAAAAACATGATATATTTTTGATAGCAAGATGATTTAAAAAACAAGGTAACTAAGGAAAATCTTGCCTTTATGTTTCCTAGGAATCAGAGAAAAAGGGATTAATTGAGAGAATCTATATGGTACAGGATATTGTTTCAACCGTTCAAAACATCTTGGAGGAAGTAGCTTCTTTTGGAGAAAGAATTAAAAAGTAAGTTTTAAATTTGTGTCATGGTGTTGGAAGGGTCTCACTCCTGCAGGCGCAGTGGGGAAGGGCAGAGGGAGGTGGGATCAGAAAATGGGAAAACAGAACACAAATGCAGCAGTGTTGGGCAAGCCCCTTGGACTTTGGTTGTTTGTTCTTTGAGCCAACTTCACACTGGGTGGTGTTTCAGAACTGGGGTGACCGCGTTGCCCGATTTATACAAGTCATCCCAGCATAATTATTAATAGGATCTCCTTTCCTCTCAAAAACATCCCAGTTTGGGTGATAAATTATAGATAGAAAAAAAAGTTATCCTATTCAGAAATAAAAAGGGAAGCAACTATGCTCTAAAGGAGCCTTTTGGACCACAGAGCACAGTAAGTTCCTTGAGTAAATTTTTTTTTTCAAATTTCCAAAGAATAGTGCATCACAGGCAGCTTCATGGCTGGACAAACAGGAAGTTAATTCACCATGTGTATGGATGTCTTAGTCAGGGGCTGACAACCTTTATCTGTATAGAGCCAGAAGGACCCTAGGGCTCATGCTTTTTTATTTTGTTTTATACGTTAATGAACTCTGTGTAACTTGGTCTTCATTTGGTACCAATGAACAGGGAGAATTTCCTTGAAATTATTAATATAAACATGATTATTTCCTCCTTTACTCCAGAGTTGTTGTAACCATACTCTTTCTAAAATTTAATTCTTACTAGTCTTGTTTATATGAATCATTCTAGTTTCTGAAAGGAAAGAAGATATTGTTTGGGAATTGTGTGGCTAAAGAAGAGCTTAAACTTAGTGCTAAAAACCAAGTGAAGCTTTTGTACATTAAAATGCGGAGAATATGAATAGTTAACATGAAACTTTATATAAACACTGATCTTCAATTGCATACCTGATGAAATTGTCCTTGAATGCCTATTTATATGAACATGGTAAACATGTTTATTTTGTTTAAAATACAGGGTGTCCATATACTTTTGGCTATTTCAAATCACTCATGAACTTTCTGGACACTCTATATAGGTTAAAAGCCACCTTTAGACAAATCTGGTGAGTTTTTATTGAATTTACACATTGCTAATCCTATTATTAGTATCTCAGGAGAAGAAAAAGAAGAACAGACTTTTTAACTATAGTATGTGTATTAGTTTATAATATTATGTGCCTTATTTTTCATATATTTCATATAAATCAACAAATGATTCCTGAACTTACCTGCAAAAATAATCAAACATATGTAGTAGAAATAGTGAAATGATGAAGACAGCATTATAATCCTCTGTTCATTCACTTGTTCAAGTACCATTTACCGAGTTTCAGGCACTGAGTTGGTCTGAGAATGAGAAATGCATCCATTAGCAGCAACGACAATACCCACTAACACCACGGGCCAGCCACTCATGTCCCAAACCTGTTATACACAGCAGTTACTCAGAGGAGTTGTAGCAAATCATTCAACAACCCCGTGAGGAGGATTGTTAATAACTTCACATTACAGATGAGGAAACTGAAACTCAGAGTGATTAAACATGTAGCCCATGATCGTACATTCAGTAAGCCGTGAGACTGAATTTGAATTTGAATATTTGAATTTGAGTTTGAGTATTTCCTCTTCACTATGACATTATAATGTCACTATTTTTTACTGAGAAAAACAGTCATAGCCGATTAGAGTTCAGTAGCTCCAGAGCTAGATAGAGGTAAGCCAGGGTTCTAAGGGAGAGGTCTTAGCAGCCCAAAAATGAGATTTAGGAGAGAGCAAGATGGGGGAGTGGGCCATTCTGAAGAAGCAACTACTTATCAGTAGCTTGGAAGCAGCAGGATAGGTAGAGATAAGAGTCACACTTGGGCTTCAGTAGCTGGGAGCTTTGTACAAAGGCTCAAGCCTCAAAACAGTGGTAGATACAGGGAGATGTGGGGGATTTAGTAGGTCTGTGCCGTAGGGAAGAGGGTGACAATACTTGGAGATAAGACACTCCATGCAAGGCTTTAAGCAGATGGAAAACTTCAGTGAAAAAAATGAGTGGAGGGATGTACTGAGAGCAAGGAGGGTAAGAGGATCCAGAGTGAGGTCAAGGCTGAGGAAGGAAGATCACATCGTTGGTACAACCGCGTCTGTTCTTGAATGTCTCTAAAAGACAAGTGTGCCCGTTGTGTAGTTTATGATATTAAAGGAAATACATCTGATGAGAGGAGGCAGCAGACTGATTAAAACAGGCCCCCAACTCTGCAGTCCTCTTGAGGGGCATCTGTGCCCAGCACAGCTGTGGTGTCCATGTCTGAGACGTGTTTTCAGGCCATGAACAGAGCACTGTTCTGTCCAGCTGCAGCCTAGGAAGGCTCCCAAGGCTCAACGCTCCTATTAATTCCTTGGCCATTCATTATTACAGTGACCTTAAAGTTCCTGCCGACCATTCAAGTGGGCTGACATGTGTAACTCCATTGGAATTCTGTTATAATTTGCTGCTTAAGAACCAGGAAAATTGTTACCCAACTTTTGGCAACTTGCAAATAAATAGACTTACATAAAATTCTCAGAGCTGTTTCCCTGATACTGATGTGGGAGGGACCCCAGTGGTGTTGCATTTACATGAAATGAACTGTATTTCCTTTTCCCCATTTTACCTTCTCTAATTGCTTTCTCCGCTATTATACAAATTTCAAATGTATGTATAGATCATTTAGACATTTTACTTAATGTGTAACATATTATCCTGAGACAGCAGGCAGAATGGGTCGGGAGAGTGAAGTGTGTCCTATGCTCTGTCATTAGAAAGGGATAGCTCCAACCCTCGTGTCCTTGTGTGGCTAGGGAAACCTCCACAGTAGGGATAATGAGATTAACATACACGGAGAAGGACAGGCACGTTATGGTGGCAAATGTTCCAGTGTAAAGCTTAGAGAGCACGTTTGTAGGAATGTGTCCTGGCTTGGAAGTGGTATTGAGAAATGTGTAGCAATAACGGTGGGAAACAGGTTAGGTTGGCTGAATTGCTGAGGAAGATACGAGGAATGAGAGATCGGTCCATTGTGTCCTTAATAGAAGAATGATACATTAAAAGGGACAATTAGCAAAGGTAGCAGGACCAAGGAGGTGGCCGGAGGCCAGGTGAGAGGCAAGAATTCATAGCCAGTGTGAGAACCATGCCCATCTGGAGGAAAGCAGCATGCAGGAGATGGAACCTGCTGCAGGTGAAGTTGTTTTTTTGTTTGTGGGAAGAAGAGTCATTTGTCTAAGCCTCAGAAACAATAAAATTAATCCCACTGGCACAAGGGTCCACATAGTGGGGCAGCCAGGTGCGGGAGGAACCCGAACATGGATCTGCACTCAACCTTCTGGGATGTAATTACAATCATTTTTGTCAAGTGTTTAGAAATTTAGAAATTGATATTCTTACATGTTGATGAGCCCACATGGTTGAATGGAGGGGATTTTTTGGGAGTTTATTATTATTATCATTATTATTATTATTAATCAAGAAGTTTAGTTCATTTGTTTCATAACTGCCCAGGTTGGAAGTTCCCTAGGCTTTAAGAGAGCTCCCAAGTTGGGAAAACTGGAGAAGTCTGTGAACGTGATTGACAAATTGTTGGATTTTGAGATGAGAAGGCTTTGATTTATCAAGGCTCTTCAACTTTTAGTTTTCTATGAATAATGTTCCATGACAGACAAAGATTAGTGAGGTTTTGCAGTTTTCAGTGTTTGAGTTATTATAGTCTCTTTGAATTAAATGCTCAGCATTTTACGTAGGAATAGTCAGCTGGGTTAAATGAATAACAGGCCTGTTTCCTTTTTCTAAAGTGCCTGCTGAAGACGCAGAGAACTTGGGCACTTCAGCCAGTTGTCTGAGTTCAAATCCCCGTTCTGTGAGTGATCTTGGACAACTTATTCAGCTTTTACGACTCCAGAGTCATCCTCTGTATGAACGGGAATAACAATAATAACTCCATAACATTTTTGGAAGACTTAATTGAATTATTGCATGTAGAGTTTATAGCAGTGGATGCCATGCAGTAATTATTTAAAAATGTTAAGTGTTATGAGAAATATTTTTTACAAACTGATTGACTTTCTTCCTTTGTGTCTTAAACACAGTGAACATTTTTTGCCCCTGTTTTGAAAACACAGTAGAACCTCTGTAAATTGGCCACCCAAGGGACTGTAACAAACTGGTTGACATATGGAGGTGGTGATCATAAGGACCTAGGCCTGTTCTACTGACTTGTACATGTGGCACATGTCCGGTCTGTGAAAATTAGGCCAACTTAGGAGGTGGTCAGTGTAGGGAGGTGGTCAACTATCGAGGTTCCACTGTATTTTGACACTAAAATTGTGGGTTGCTGGGGGGGAATGCATTAGTCAACTGACATAGCTGTTGGAGGCATAAATCTGACAGGCTGTTTGTCAAAGCAAATATGATACACAACTCCATTTCTAACACCCAACACAGAAACACACATGACACACCACACACACACACACAAACCAACAACTCCTGGAATCTTTATTAGCATTGCATCCACTGGGAAATCGTGATAAATTATAAGTTTTCTATTACATGTCCTGTTGTATTTCAGTGTAATGTCTTTTTAGATGATTTTGAATTTATCTCAATATTATTTTGGAGTTTTCTGTATAGCAGTGTGATACTTTTTTATCAGATAGGTTCATAAATACTTGATTTTGGGGGTAGGTGTTATTTTCAATGGTATCTTTCTGCAGGTTTTGTTTTCTCTGTTTGTTACTCATATATAGAAGCAAAATTAATTTTCCCATATTGGTTTTATTTGTATCAAATAGTCACAGTAAACTTAGTTTACTTTTATGTAAAGATTATTATTCTGTAATTTTATTAGGTAAACATATAAGAATCACCTTTTCCTCCCTTTTTCCACATCTTATACTCTTTGCTTTGTTTTCTTGGCATACTATGCGGCTTAGCAGCTTTTGTACAATATGAAATGGAATTGGTGTTGGTGGACATTGTTTTCTTGTATGTGATC